TAAGACAATCGCGTACCCTTCGCGCCCACGACGCGCTTTCCGCGTACGCGGACGGCGTCTTCTCAGCGCACACACCGTCTTCGTGGTGTGCGCTCGAAGCTCCTCGCTTGCGGGGCTCGGTGGACCGCGCCGGCGGTGCCTCGGCGTCACTGCACGCGCGGTCTCCCGGACCCCGCCGCGAGCTACGATCCTGTCCCACGCGCTGAGACGCAGCAGGGGAGGTCGCAGGCCGTGCCCAGGGATGCTGGTGCCAAACGGCGCGGCGGGAGGAGGCGTGGGCGGGCGGGGATGCGCGTTTTTGCGATCGCGCGGTGAGGTCGCCCATGGAATCGCGCCGAAGATGCGATTTTCACCCTCTTCGTATCGCCCCGAGACTTCGTGTGGGGGTGCGCCCTGTTCCATGGGAGGTCCCAGCGGTGTTCGGGCGCGGCCCGGACGCGATGCCGGCGCGCGAGGGGGGCGGCAAGTGGCGGGTGGGGGCCGACCTCGTATTTGGCCGAGCCCGTTCTGCGTGCGATGGCGTCGCGGCCGTATCACAAATGCCGTATATGTGATGTACACATGGCCCTCGTCGCGTTTCGGGTCTTTACGACGCGCTCCGGCGAAGTTGTGATGTGTCGGGCGGCGGGGTGTCGAGAGAGCCTCCGCGACGAGGTCGAGCTACAGCTTGGTCCTCCGCGGTTGCATGCGACGATAGTCGACGCGGAACGTGCACGAGCACACGTCCGCTAAGTTTCGCAGCGTCCGAACGGGAGGGGCGGCCGCGACGCGGAAATTTCTGATGTGGTCGTCGGATTCGCCAATGAAATCGGCCTGAACAAGAAATATATTTTCTTCGCGGATCGCCGCGAAAACGCGTGGGTGTATGCGCCCTGGTGCATGGGAGCGTACCGTTCTATCTGTGGGCGTACCGGATGCGATGGCAGAGCGCGAGAGCGGCGGCAAGCGGGCGGCGGGGCCGCGGAGTCGGCAGCGTGCGACGCGCAGGACGTGCGCGACGTGGCTGTGCGCGCGGGACGTGCGTCGTGTGCGCGTGACGTACGTGTCTGAAGTGTTCGGGCAGCGCGGCGTCGCTTGCGGGGTGATGTGCGCGGACCTGGCCTGGGGTGTCGGGCTCGGTGGTCGAGTTTGGTCGAGTGCGCTCGCTCGATGCCGTTGCATGTCCCAGGTATTGCCGTGAGTGGCGGAGGGCCGCCCTCTGGGACCGATGGAGGTGTTTTCCGGCCTGAACGAAGAGTCTCGGGCGGGTCCTCGGCATTCTTGTATGCGCGGCAAACTGAAAATCCGACTTTGTCAGCGCAAATCACGTCTGCATGAGCTGAAATCTTGCCTGGTACAAGATGCATGTAATTCTCACCGAGCTACATTCAGTGGGCAGCGGTCGGCGGGGGTGTCAGGGCGGGAGGAGGGGCCAATGGAGCCTTGGGGGCGGCTGCCTTGCCGACGGCACTCCTAGCGGAGGACGCATGGAGCGTCTTCGCGCGTTTCATATCATGTCCACGCACCTCTTATGCACATATACCCAGCACACAAAACGGGGGCGTTGAGGGGCGCGGGCGGTGGACGTCCATATTGGGCGAGCGGCAGGCACGCAGTGCCGACAGCGCCGGCGCCGCAGTTCCGCATTGCCCACAAACGGCGTTGTGTGCATGCCCGACAGTGT